CACCGAAGAAATGGGGCCTCCAACGATGGTCACCTTTGGAACGCCCGACATTGAGGTTGTTATCTATGCTCAGATGTTGTTTTGATAGAACTCTTACTGCCGTGGTCAATGCTTGTTGCTCAAAGAAAAGATTTGTTCTGGCTGATCAGTATCTCACATTTCAGGCCCTTTAAATTAGAAAGAGTCAGATCTAATTCACGTGAACCATCATGTATAACTTCGAAGTGAGTCAGCTAACAGATGAGAATTCACGTGAATCAGAGAAAATTTTTAATTGTTGTCAATCCCTTCGTCAGTCATTCGATCACCAAACTTTTCAGGATCATTTCTCCCCTTATCAGTGTCAAATTTTAATTTTCATACACCAGTTATGTGCTCTCCTAAATGCAACATATCATTCGCCAAAGAGAAATCGCTAAGGCTGATAAAAATTTCTATCGATCTCATGCTGTCAGTTTCTTTCTAAGCATCCATACACGAATCAAATCATCACGATTATCAATTTCTGCTTTATTGAAAAATCCCTCAAAAGCCACAAAACAAAACTGCTCGCCACAGCTCCAATTAAGCACAGCATCGAACGTGACAAATCAATTCAAAATTTCCTTATCGTTACAATACTTTTTCTTTGGCATACTTATACAATATATATCAATTTTTTTCTATGGCAGTATATAAACACCTCTCTTCGACGTTATCATTTCAAAAAATCGACTGAAATGAAGAATTTTTTGAAGCATTTAGCACTTTCTAATTAACACTTTCATCACACTTTTCCCGTTTACACACCTTCTCAATTTTATTCATTCTAGTCTTTAAACGCATCCACTGCCTTACTCAAACACTTGTCACTGTTCAGTGGTGTTGTGCATAATTTCTCGTTCCAGTCCATAAACTCTGACCTTTGAATGCCATTGTATGTCTCAATTGATTGATCACTATCCATAAATTTCGAAAAACTCACATATTCCACTTCGAATCGATTCAAAAATGTTCCATAAACTTTTCCTAAACTCATCAACATCCCTCATTCACTTAAACTATGCAAAGCGACTCACTCACTGCTACACTTGCTTCCCTAAGCTGAAACAGGTTGGTCGCTCTGAAATCGTCATAAACTTTCCGATCAGGTCGAGCAAATCAGCACAACTCTTCGATTCTTCACACGCCCACCATTCGGCGGGTTCAAACATCCCTTCCAAACCAGAATATTCGTCTAAACTTATTATTAGCAATTGGGAATTCATATTCTCACAAAAAAACGTCCAGTTCGTTCCAAAAATCCGAAAATACTGCACAACATTCTTCTGCAACCAAAATCGGTTGCAATTTCTGCTGAAACTCTTCAATATTTGCATAGCAATTGATTCGCAAACCCCGTAAAAAATCATTCTAAATAAACGACTTAATGCGTAAACATAACTAACACCCATCTGTTATGAAATAAATTCAATAACTTTCCATGACTACGATGAGATTTAACTGACGGATTCATTACTCAGCTAGCAGTGAGCATCATCTTATTCAGGCATTATTAGAGCTGAATCCGAGGGTGAATCAAAGCGCCCATTTGGTACCGAGTTCAGTCACAAAGAAGGAAAAATTAAAATGGAAACGGAATGCGGATAAATCGTGTAAGGTGAGTGAACAATAACCAGTTTAGTGGTTCGTTCCGTTATAAAGTTTGTTGATTGAACAATTATTTACGTTGTTATCGTTGTACTTTTGACAATTCTCATAAATTACGTTTCAATATCTGCTTTTAAACAATTCACTAACAATAAGATTTCTTCAATTGTAGACAATCCTTTCAAGAAGGATAGAGATAAAAACCAAAAAAAAACTCTGTCTGCATTCGGTCGCTCATTTAAATTCATCAAGTTTATACGGAAGTCTAAGATTTTTACAAGAATCAAAGTAAAACTGGGGGAACAAAACTGAATAGAAATTTCACCTGAAAAGTCTTATTTCCATCAATTTTTTTTCTACCGAACCTGCATTTTATTTATCCGATTTTTGTTTCTGTCGTGTTCATCGTTGCTTTACTAATATCTATTACTCGTTTACTGATATTCATTCTCTTTTACCAAAACGTATTCAGTCTTATCTGGGAAAGTGCTGAAATCTTTAACGATTTGTTCAAAGTGTCCGATTTTTCAATGCAGAAAATAACATAGATGCAGTCAATGTCCGTTCGGAAAGGAATGAGACTATCAATCAAACAAAAAATTCAACTGATAAGATAACAGGAAGCATAATCAAGCTTTTCAATAGATCATATTTTATCAATCAGTCATTCTAAAAAAGCACTCTCAATCATTCTATCAATCAATAAATATTTATTAACATTCAACAATCAGACGTGACAAATGATCAATCGTAATTCAACCATAATCCTTCTCTGAATTTCCTTTCATCTCTTCTTTTTACTAAGAATTGTTTAACAAACATTCTCTTGTAACTACACAATTTAAAAATTCCAAAGAAAAACGTTTCGACACATCGAATTTCGCAAACGAAATTGTGCAGCAATTCCGTAAAAGGTCGTTATATTCAACCACATTTCGTAATGACTTTCACTGGCGATAAATTCTTCAAATTCGATTGCGTAAATGAAGATCGTCAACAAAATGAAATGGAGTAATAAAACTGAAATAAAAAGCGCACATCTTCATTTGGCCTGTTCGAGTCAACATTTTCAGACGTGTTCGAATGACTACGTGAATGATTTTCGTGATGTGAAGCACACAACTTTATCGGAAAGAGGTGCCTTAAGGGAGGCTATGCGCTGTCTGAAATGCGCAGATGCTCCGTGTCAAAAGAGTTGTCCCACACAACTTGACATTAAGACCTTCATCACAAGTATCGCTAATAAGGTATGCAATCGAGCAATATTCAAATATTTAATGAATTCATTAATGCCACGTTACAGTCTCTTAACATATTACACTTCTTTCGTAAAACCCGTATTATCATTTTACTACAATACTAAATTTTACAGGTAAACATACTCATTCAATACAACCAACGCCTTATTAAATTAATTGATAACAGAAGAATAAAATAAAGCAATCCGTTCATTTTATTGCTTTTTCATTAAAAATACCAACAAAACTTCCTTATTACTAATTAGAATTGGTTACCTTGCCACTCCTTTGAATGAATGGATTAATAATGGCATAAATGAATAGTCCACGACACAAATGAAGATTGAAAAAAGCAAAAAAGAGTAGCATTTCTCATTAAGATTAGCATGAGCACAAGAGTTCCGAAATTTTTGATCATTTTGATCAGACGAACTTCGGACGATCTGATCAGGACGTTGATGGAATCAACGATAACAACACGCATAACAATAATCAAGAATAAGCGGTGAATAATGAGAGCTGTTCAGCAATTAGTCAATGCTGCCAATTCAGAACTATTACGGTGCGGCACGTCAAATCTTCAGTGACAACCCACTCGGTTTAACGTGCGGAATGATTTGTCCAACATCAGATCTTTGTGTTGGATCGTGCAATTTGTATGGAACTGAAGAGGGACCCATCAATATCGGTGGATTGCAACAGTTCGCCACTGAAGTGAGACCGACCATTTTCGAATCTTTTTGAAGATCAAAAATTCTTTTGTTTTCCAAAGTTTCTAAAGATTTCAAGTGGGAATACTGTCGTGAATTGTTAAAACAAGAATAACTTGACATTGATTGGACGAAATTTCAGCACACTTTCGTTAATGATGCGACGAAGAGGTAGAAATTTCTCTGACTCATTAGAACAACGTAGAGAATTGAACAACTCAATTAAACAACATAATTGAGGAAGAAAAGAAACAATACATAGTATATCAACGGAATAAATAGGGAAATGAAACACGGCAAAAGAAAGAATACAATTATCATCATAAAAGATCAAAACCAATGGAATTGTTGAAAAACTCGCTATTAAACTGAAAACTTGCAATAGCTCCACTTACTCGACGTAAAATCACGTGTATTTTCACGTAGAAGAAAGGAATTTTGAATATTCTGAAGAGACTCGCAACCATTTCAGGTGTTCAAGCAAATGAACATCCGTCAAATTGTCTCTAAAGAAGTGATCGCTTCACGAAATGCCGCACATCAATATCCCATAGCGTTGTTGGGCTGTGGCCCAGCCAGCATCTCGTGTGCTAGTTTCTTGTGTCGTCTTGGATATACTGACGTTACAATCTATGAGAAGAATGACTTTATTGGAGGATTGAGGTGAGATATTTGAAGAGTTGGACGATAAAGCTGAAAAACAGGCAGCGAAATTGTGTGAGATACGGAGGTCAGGATTGCCGAAAGAACATCCAGATCTGGTTGAGATTATCAGGAATTCATTATCAGATTCGGGTGAAATATCCAGATGCGTGAAAGATCTTTTTTTTTGATCACTGCAAATATCGTTTTCTAACGAATTCTGAAATGTTCTCAAATTCAGTTCCTCCGAAATTCCACAATATCGTTTGCCATATAATGTGGTCGATTTTGAAATACAGCTGGCCAAGGACATTGGTGTAAAGGTATGCATCTATCTTGAAAGTATCATATAGCGTATAGGTCTACCAAACAGTTTCAACTAGATGTTTCTGCTCCTTACAATTGATAAATCTTGTACTATCAACCCAAAGTGTCTTCAAAAGAAACGCCTCATTCAGAATGAACTGAATTAAGATCGTGACTGGTCGTATGCTCCACAAAGATGAT